TAATAGTACTGGAGCCTGAGAAATAAGGCAATCATACACGTAGTTCTAAACTAGAACTAACCAGAAAACCTTTTGGCTCGTCTCATTTAATTAACTCTTGTCCAGAGACTTCTAGCCTTCAAGCCTCCCAAGTGTTCTGACATTGTAGATATATCATGCGTCCTTCACAAGGCAGCTAATCTTGCAATCTAGTTTTCAAATTCTTCTGCATTGTCCAAAACTGAAAGGATACTAGATGAGCAATGTCAGTTTTCTCCTTTGTGCGTGCATCTTTGGCAGCGATTAACACTATATTACAGTCTCATCGGTCGTTTGGGCTTTCATTAATAGGGGACTATCCTCTGTCCTTTACTCTATCCCCCGCACCTCGATCATTTCCACAAACAACACCGCTTCCATCATTAACTCAAGATACGCAGCTGTAGGAAGTCTGTCATCGACACGTCTAGAAGGAATTAGTAAGTGTGCTGTACATCTACTATAATAACGCATCATGATAAAAGTATTGTTTTGATGTCCCGGATTTATGCGCAATTCCATTGCGTTGCTACCTCCAACCTCTTTCATACGAGGCTCCATTTTTCACCGCGAGTATGGATCTCTGGTTTAGGGTTTCGTATATGCGGAAATACTTCTCCTTTTCCAAGTATCGCTCTGATCACGATAACACAATGTTAGCAAGTACAGCAAGGCGCATATCCGAACGACCCCGCTTTATACCCCACGGATACCGGTATTCGTTTGCTTATGCTCCTCTGCAGGTTCATTCGGAACCCTTTTCCAGCCACGCAATAATCTCTAAGCTTTATGAAAGTTCAACCGCCTTGGAAGTCGGGGAGGGCCGCAAGTTTTGCCACGGCATTCTGGCTCTTGAGTAGTTCTGTCTCGCATATCCTTTTTGGTCTTTTATATCTCTCATCCTCCCATTGGATCTTCCCTATGCTTGTTGATGCACGTTTCCTCAACATCTCATTATGTCTGCAACAATCACTGCTACAAAGCATAGTGCTGCAACCCCATCGAAGTTCGATAGCGTGGCGTAGCAGTGAGCAAAGTCAAGTCTCATGCTCTTTATAAAACGGCTTGCTTTTCAATCGAAGTTAGACAATACCCGATACTTCACTGGTTGCATATCCAGCTACCCTAAAAGGCCGTGCTAATTATGTTTATTACGCGACGAAATATCTAATAAGTCGCGAATCATAGTGCACGCAAGTATGCTTTAATGGGGCTAGTTCTAGAGGTAAATATATGTTCCCAAATTCAAACATTAAATATTTAACGACGTGCTCACAACGCCAACGAAGCAAAAGTAATCGCTTTGTTAGCACCGTCGAACCTAGACTATGTCGCTTACATCTTTGCACTCTCCAGGCTAAGGTTTGCCGTGCTTCTGCTCTCCGATCGTCTTGCTACAGAAGCATATGTTTCTCTCCTTTAACGAACGGAATGCTATCGAATTATAAGCTCTAGAAACTTGGGCAAGCAAGAGACAGCGATCCAATCAGCGACAAGCATCACTCGCTATCCACTTCTCTCTCAATCAGAATACGGCATTAGAGATCCTCTAGTCCTTCGATTTTCGCGACAGCATTCATTATTCATTCTTCTAGCTCTACAGGACTTCCGAAGCCAATCTTTCAAATACGGGCAGCGTGCTTAATGAACTACTCCAGCAGCTTCGGTCATCGTGATTATAGAATATAGAGATGGAATATTCACTTTCCTTCATTCACCTAAGTCTACCTCTTATTCCAAAAATATCAGAGAGGCACATTGCAAAGGATCTCAAAGTTTGAGGTCATCGTGGTGACTGATTCATTGAGTAATGTCTGTGCTGGGCTGCTACATCAAAAGTTGGAATTCTCTCCGAAAACCCCATTGGCAATAACCAGACATTCTCTACCTCACAATCACTCAAATGCTCGTCTCAAGTTCTTCCCGACCAGCATTGCCTAACATTAATTTGTCCTGTCCAGTTTCATTACACTGCATGCCCACACATGCGCCTGCCTCTCCGATGCACCTCTCCCAGTGCCTTCTGTTTCAGTAAATAAAGAGTTATACTAGAGGTCCATCTCGGAAACTACATACAGCACCCCGCTTTCTTCTTCGGCTGACGACTTGGCACCTTCCTCTAACATGCATTTCCGACTTTCACGACACGGACCTGCTTATCCTAGCGCCCTCTGCCTTCAATGAGCATGAGCATGAGCATGAGCATGAGCCAGCTCTCCGGGAAAGCGCTCATGGAAACAACCAGACGCAGCTACTGGACTTGGTCCTAGCAATTGAGTGGAGTAAATACGGGGCCCCAACATTCAAACATCCAAGCGCTGCTACATCAGTAGGTCCATAAAGCTATCCATGAATCGTCGTTCAATCGAGTTGCTCCATCAGCATATTGTGCGAGTCCATCTTTGGTACTGTCCTCGATCCCAAAAACCCAGAAATCCAGATGGCAGACCAAATCATCAACCCTCGTGCCCCAGTGCAAAATCCATCCACGAATCCCGACATGAAGAAAGATGCAGTCGAGTCCATTGAACATGCATCGACCCTGGACAGCGTGCTGTTCACAAAATCGCGGGCCCCAGAACTTGTTCGCGACCTTTCTCCAGAGACTCGTCAAACTCTCGAGAATGCTCTTAGATGGAAGATCGATCTTAGGCTTATGCCCTTGATTGTGCTAATGTACATTCTGAACTATCTAGATAGGAACAACATCGCTGCTGCAAGGTTGGCAGGGTTGGAGAAGGACTTGAAGTTGCATGGGAACCAGTTTCAGGTCAGTCTCCGTTGGAAAGTCCCTGATGGAAGACAAATGCTGATGAGTAGTTTGGGCATTGTAGACGAGTGTCAGTATTCTATTTGTGGGTTATTTGTTGATGCAAGGTATTTCTGTAACATGCATTTTTAGGAATGAGGAAGTAATAGAAGGTAGTGCCATCCAATATGCTTCTCAACAAACTTGGGAAGCCATCGATATACCTTCCAGCCTGCATGGTCGTTTGGGGTATTATCAGCGGAGCAACTGCTGCCTGTCAGACTTATGGTGGATTGTTGGCTTGTCGATTCATTCTAGGATTTGTCGAAGCTGCCTATTTTGTGAGTAGTCGGGCTTTTTAGTCGGGCTGAAGGTTCACGTTGAAAATGGACACTGACTCGAGAAGCCTGGTTGCCTCTACTACCTGTCAGCTTGGTATACTAGGAAGGAACTTGTGAAGCGCACTGCTGTTCTTTATTCTGGATCTCTATTATCAGGAGCTTTCTCTGGCCTCATCGCTGCTGGAATCACCAATGGCCTAAATGGAGCTCGAGGATTATCTGCCTGGCGATGGTTGTTCATTGTTGAGGGTGCCATCACGGTGAGTCCTGTGACATCAACAAACCTCCATGTTACTCGATGCTCATAGAATAGGTTTTTATTGCCTTGTTTTCGTTCTTCATTCTTCCTGATTTTCCACGAACCACAACCTGGCTCACTGAGGAGGAAAAGCAACTCGCCGCTTGGCGTTTGGACGAAGATATTGGAGAAGATGACTGGGTCAGCAGCAAGCAACAAACATTCTGCCATGGAGCAAAGTCGGCTGCCGGGTAGGTCGTGCGAGGGAATCAGGCCAACTAGTAGCACATACTAACATATTTCACAGAGACCCAAAGGCGTGGCTCTTGTTATTAACTACATATGGTTTCACAGCGACCGGAACTGTGACTACCTTCTTCCCGACGTGGGTACTCCTATCCGTCTCTGTACTTCATTAGTGCTAACTAGCTTGCTCAGTGTTGTCAAGGGGCTAGGCAAGAGCAACATTATCACTCTCTTACTAACGACACCTCCGTACTTGATTGCCGTTTTGGCAATCTTAGCCAATGCCTGGCATGCGGACAAAACTGGAGAACGATACTTGCATGTGTCATTACCACCAATCCTTTCAGTGATGTCCTTTATTATCGCAGTGACGACTACCGCATTCGCGCCAAGATACTTGTAAGGCATTCCGTCAACTGGGGTTCCAAACGCTGATGCTATCCATAGAGCAATGTGCCTTATGGTAGGTAGCAATTATTCAGGGTATGTGGTAACGCTGAGCTGGATATCAAATGGTAAGCTTAGTATCCCTTCTTAATGTGATATGCTACTAATAGGTAGTGCTTCCTCGACCACCGGCTAAGCGTGCAGCGGCACTCGCTGGGATCAATGCTTTGAGTAATATCTGCCAAATCTACTCCCCGTTTCTGTACCCCAGTGAGTCTCCCCTCCCATTTCGAGATGCTGATGCTAATACCTATTGTTCCTATCCAGCCGGTGACGGACCTAGATATGGTAAGAATCTGACCACTCTGGTTGTTGGAATAGCACTAACACAACTGACAGTGAACGCCATGTGCGTCAATATGGGCATGTCCATAATGGCCATAGTCTTCGCAACGGTTTTGCGTTTCCACTTGAAGGCCTTGAATCGAAAATTAAATATTGGTGAAGTTGTCGATGGTGTGAATGCCGACAGCGAGGAGAGGAATGTAGTCGAAGAGCAGGGTCTACCAGGCACTGCGGTGAATAACGGATTCAGGTTCTTGGTGTAGAAAGCTTAGGGATCATAAAATTGAACTCTTTGCTCCGCTCTAGGAACTCAATTTCGAGTCATGGAAGTGGGGTTTCGGTACATGTATGTTTCAATGTTTGTCTTTTTGAAGCACTGAAGGTGTGAGCAGTTGAGAGGAAGCTACTGGCAATTGTATCTCCTTAGCCGATAAAATTGCTGTTCCTTATTATGTGTGGAGTATAGTTATCCTAGTCGACTAGACATAGATAGGGAATGCGACGAACTTTATCTCCTTGAAGACCCCTTTCTCTCGCTTAAAACCAAATCCTCCTGAGAGACTACGGCAAATCGGCGGAGCTGTCTAGCGAGGTTTTTCAGGGGCGGCAAAAAAAGTGCAAAAGAATATTCAAAGAAAACACAAAACACAAACTAAGAGTAGGGCTAAAAAGAACGCACTCCAAGTGGGATTCGAACCCACAGCCTCGAGATTAGAAGTCTCGCGCGCTACCATTGCGCCATCTGTTGATGTGTTAGTGCAATTTAAAGGACAAGGTTAATGAGAGACTGACTGGAGCTGATTGGTGTAGAGATTTTTTAAATTGTGCTTATTTTAATATATACATACGAGTCTGAACCTCGGGGGAACATATTTTTCTCTTGAACCCGTCACTGCGTGACCGTGAAAATACATTCAAGTATTGCCAACTCTTATCTGCGTAGCTGTTTCGCGTCATTACCCCACTCAGCTTCGATGATCTTGCCCAGCCATACACATTCGTCACGTTACTTGTAGAGCTTAAGAACATTAAATATGCAGATGAGCTGGGATAGTGAGCGTATCGGTCTTCCTTGCTCGGGGATGATAGAGTCGATCCACGTTCTTCACTGTCACGATGCACTTTAATCTCAATGATACAACCCACTTGTCATTTGATCTATCTAAGAGCTGATAGCATCATTATTTGTTGTTCTTATGAGGAAGGACGACATTAGTCTTTCTACTTGAAAGTTGAAACTATGATTGAGACGATGAGGTTGGGAAATTCGAGGCAGATGTGAATATAACAGAGGCTCGAGTACATTTTCTTCCTATGCCATCTTTATTGCAGGCTTCGCCCATTCTTCTCCTCATTCGGGCTTCACGGGGTAGGTTCGGCGTTGAGGTAGCAGACTAGAAGCGCTGGGTTGTGGTAGAATTGCAAAGCACGATATCATCGCTAGCGACCAATAAAGCAAAACCAATGCATAAATTTACGCGGAGATTACACTTGATCTACTCTCCATAGCCATTGTATCAAGAAAACTAGAGGTAGGAAAATTACATATGGGAAGAATGCGAGCGGCAGGACTGTTGTCGTGGTCGATACTGGTTCACGATGCTGTTTCTCGAAATGCCAAGTCTGTATTTAGCGTTTTAATGGGAATGTTTGAAAAGTAGAAGAAAGCTGAAGAATGAAATGCAACAGAAGTAGGTAGATTGCGAAGGGCACTGCATGCACTGTCAGAGTATAGGATTGAGATGGACAAACACTTAACACTACGGTCACTACCGTAGCCCTACGACTTGAGACCCGGCCATGTATCTCTATTTTCACTTTCAGATTGAAGTACTTGCAGTAATAGGACATTCTACAAATGGGAATTATCCGCTATTCATGCCCTTCTAGGAAAACCTTCAACTCCTCACTAGAACTTTCGAAGAAGTAGACGTCATGGTTACTCTGCTATTTGAGCTCTTGCACATTTCAAACAACGTCTTCTTGGGTGCGGCGATTACAAACACACAAGATAATCTCATGTTTTTGTTAAAGATTGAATGTTCACGCATTGCTCCATCTGTATTGCTGAAAGAAGACAAGTGACGCGCGGATGACCTGCTCTCACTTTCAAAACGAAAAATCCTTACATTCCTTTCCTACAAATCTCTCTGTCTCTGTCTCTCTCAACTAATCATGCATGGATTATTCACGAGTACGGAAAGGTATCTGGCTTCAGATTACTAGCCCCTTTCGCAAAGGGATAGAACAACATTGACGAAAACTATCGCTGTCTATTTGATTCTCAATCCCAGAAGAATACTATTAGATATTGTAGCTACTGATACCCGTCCGACGTTTCTCATTGAGTCTCGTCTTCTCAAAGTCTATGTCACATTTCAAACGGCGAAGTTAGGCGAACTTCAGCTCTGCAATGGTAAGACTAGGAGTCGAATCGTCCCGACTTCCGATAATTTGTTCATAAGTATGCTCAACTAGAAAAGCGATAATAGAAAAGCGATAATCAGAGTATAGGGATGCCATTAGTAAGTATCTAGTACATCCGTCTTTCCCGGCGACAAAGGTCAAGTGGCTGGACTTGATCAAATCCGAAGGAATGAATTTGTAGGATTTAATGAACGATTTCGCCTAGAGAGAGAAATAATGTAAGTTCTAAGACTTCCGAAGGATCAGAACAACTGAGAGAGCTATGTTTGTTCCGAGAAACGATATTCTGATGATCTTCTTAGCTGGGTAGGTAATGCTCTCGTGGCAAGCATATCTGCGAGGAATTTTGCTTCTCCGTGACAGCAAGATTACATTCATCATGAGGACCGGACAGAGTCGTGATTCCGAAGAAATGACACTAGCAGTAACCCCGACCGGATTTAGTGAAGCCAAAAAGACACGCAAGCATAATATAATATGTCATAACACTAGCTAAGCAAGCGCACAACGACGAAAAGCCGAAGCAGCACGGCAACGAAGGCGCGCGAGAGCGAAGTCCTGAAGCGGTGTAGTAAGAAGGGAGAATGACTATCCTGGAATTGAAACGATACTACAGTGAGCTGACGAACGATTCGGTACAGTACGTACCAGGTGGCCCGTCCACGCTGACCCGAACAAGACGGAACGTGCTGAGGCCGAAGGGCGAGAAAATGATCAAAAGCCTTAACAATAAAAGAAAAGCATGGCAAACGAGGCAGAAGCGTAAGGAGGCGGCGGCAGAACGGTCGACGAATTCGTCAGTCAACCTTGCGTTACACCACCCCAATCCAATCCACGTGGCCTACCACACCACGGTCTGGAAATCGGGTAGCCCAAATCAATTCCAATTCTCGGCAAGCCGGACAAGGCATGCCATAATAATATCGCGCTTATGGCAGAAAATTTTACCAACGGGGAATACTGGTGTGAGATGTGATAGATAAGCTTCTCACCGAGAACTTGAAGGCATGAACCTGCATTGTCTGCCTGTACGGTAGACATGAACTGGGGTCGATTGATTGCTTTGCTGACAGAAATACATTGACTACATCATAATGCTCCAACGATGATACGAGAAGGAAAGGAGAGAAGATCAATTTCACAGCACTACTGAACCCTCACTTTGCAGCCACCGTGTCTAGAAAGGAGCTCAAAGAATAGAAAAACAAAAACTCTCGGATCAGCCAGCCGGCTTTGTGCTACTGATCAGCATGAAGGGTGGTAGTGTGGCTGTGAACAGGGAAGTTGGTGTGCAAAACCATGCGCTGACTGTTTCTGGTTCCGAGAGAGGCGGGAAGGGAGGGAAGTGTGGCGAGAGAGTGCGAATACGGATTATTGGACGGAGTCAAGTGATGAAAGAGCTCATGTGCTCGAAACCAGAGATACGAGTGAGATGAGTAAAGTAAAGAGACTATTTGGGGGGGGTGATGACCTCGCGTGTGCTTGGATATGATTTTGAAAGACGTTGGAAAGGGGGTTCTCTTTGCGAATCATATTGTGATTGGCTAAGCTTGAAGGAAGTGGCATGTATTCAAGGCTGAAGGTCACACACCCTTTTGAAAAAGATCCTTTTGCAGTCTGGCAAGGGAGCTCGGATAATGCGGGGATTTTACGTACAGATTCGGTTCACTTCCCCTTTCGAGTTTCGACTGGAAGACTTCGAAACCAAATGGAACTGATACTTCAAGTTTCACAGATCACAAATACGCGTCGCTTGACTCTACTTCTGAAGCGTACTTGTATTCATTTGAATGATCGCCGTTGGGGAGCAGTGACACGAAACGCTGCAGCTTCCCGTTACCCCAGAAAACTCGTCTACGCCTGCTTCCTGTGATTTTCAAGTTTGGAGTACGGATACCTTGAAACTCTCGTTGGCTGACGACTGCTCGCAGCTCAAGACGCAATCCTGCATGCAACGTGAGCCATTGACTTGGATGGGGACCAGCCGAATGCAACACCGAAAGCGCCTTGGGACTGTCGATGGATCGAACGATAGAGACAGATGTTGGTTCTCCTAGTAGAGACTTGCATGCCTGTAAACCCATCCAGCAAATGAACATCTCCTTTACCTCGCAGGAAGCCGATGTAGGAAGGAGAGCCAATAATCAAACATGCAGATATGGAACCGAGTTGCTGTTACGGTAACATGGCGTCACAACTTGGAAGCCCTGTCGGAGTGAGGCGTGGCGCGAAATGATGCCTATCATTATTATTGGATGTCTTTCTTCTGCCAGAAGTGCGGGGGAAGCGACAAGTCAGATTAGGATAGCGTTCCTCACTCGCTGAACATGATTTCGACGTTGAACTTCTGATGCAACGATGGTTCGTTGTTTACTGTACCGTGGAGTGGTTCTGATAGCAATTCTTAAAAGTTTGACTTGTGTTGTACCAGGAGACGCGAAATGGCGAGCGGGAGTTGCCGCTATGGCATCTCCAAACCAAGATACTTGAGCGCACGGCACAAATTCCAGGGTTCAGGATCGTATGCGCCTTGACTCTGATGAAAGCAGCGAAGGCTCTCAGATCTTGCTATTTTCAGGTTCTGTTCCTGGATCTGCATTAAGATGAAAATTGCGGCGTATCTTTCAAGATTCGAAAATTAGCCCTTATTGTTAGAAAGGAAGGTTATGATCGCGACTTACGAGTTCCCGATAGTGTACGGTTCAAAACGATAGATCATCTTGACGAGGGGTGGTTCGGACATCACGAATATTGCTACGGCCGAGGCATCCTCTAGTATGGTACAGTCCAGTACCAATAAAGCGAGGGAAGTAAATGCCGCTGCAGGGTCCACGAGGTTTGTTTGTGGGGGACAACTGAGAAGACCCAAATCTCCGATTCGAGATGATTTGCTCCAATCAAACAGTTAGTGGGTGCTACTTAAGCAGCGTCTGAGAATGGGAATAGGGTCATGGTCCAGGATGGCTGCGACGGCGATCATTTGACGGGTGTATTTATATGCCGAATATTTGAGATTTGGCTTGAGGAGGAGAACTCGGCTTCTGGTGGCTAGAATCGCGACGGTGCTACGGACCTTGTGAAAGATGAAGATCTAAAACGGACTCGATGTAGAAAAGGAGAGTGGAGATGAGATCGTGAATCGAGCTTCGCTTCGAAGGTTTCATCTGGCGTGTGTGTTGCCAGCTCTGAAATCCTCCTGGCAAAGATCGGTTGTGCTCTTGGCACTGGCTGCAGCAGCGGCCAGCGAGCAGCCAGCGCGAATGAGGCCATTCGAGCATCACGAGGCTAGCGACGACGGCAACGACGACGACGTCCGTCGAAGGGA